CTATTTTAACATATAGTCTTTCAAATATCTGCTCAGTCGTCTCAACTGCCCTACTATCGGTAGACCATGCTCTATTACATTGTTGTTTTTCAAATTTATGCGTAGGAGTCTCAACCGCCGTTTTAACGGCAGACCAAGCTCTATTCGCTCATAGTTTTCAACTCTTTGCTCAGGAGTCTCAACAGCCTTACTTAGCGACAGACACAGCTCTGTTACCATGTAGTCTTTCCACTCTGCTCAGGCGTCTCAAATGACCTAATAGCGGCAGACAATGCTATATTACCTTGTAGTTTTTCAAATCTTTCCTCAGTAGTCTCAACTGCCCAATTATCAGTAGGATTTGCTCTATTACCTGGTGTTATTTTAACTCTTTGCTAAGGACTCTCATATGCTTTAGTAGCGGCAGACCTAGATCTATTACGTTATAGTCTTTAAACTCTTTGCTTATGAGTCTCAAATGTCATAGTAACGTTCGACCTAGCTCTAATAACTTGTAGTCATTCAACTCTTTGCTCAAGAGTCGCAAATGCCCTACAAGCGTCAGACCCAGATCTGTTACACTGTCGTTTTTTTAAAGTTTTACTCAGGAGTATCAACTGCCCTATTAGCGGTAGACCTAACTCTATTTCCATGTTGTTGTTTTTTCTCTTTCCTCAGGGGTCTCAACTGCAGAACTAGCGGCAGACCCAGATCTATTACCCTTTAGTCTAACAACTCTTTGCTCAGGAGTCTCAACTGCCCTCTTAGCGGTAGAACTGGCTCTGTTTCCTTGTTTTTTTTATATGTATCTACAGGGGTGTAAATTGCCCTGCCTTGTAGTTTTTAACTATTTCTCAATGTATCTACTGCCGTAATAGAGCAGGCCTAGATCTATTAATTTGCAGTCATTCAACACTTTGCTGATGAGTCTCAACTGCCTTAATAGAGGTAGAACTAGATCTATTACCTTTAATCTTTCAACTCATTGCTCAAGAGTCTCAACTACTCTACTAGCAGTATACCTAGCTCTATTAACATTGTAGTCTTTCAAATTTTTGATCAAGAGTCTCAACTGCCCTACTAGTGACAGACACAGATCTGTTACCCTGTCGTTTGTCAGGGCTTTCCTCAGGAGTATCAACTACCCTACTAGCGGTAGACCTAAATCTATTTCCGTTTAGTTTTCAACTATTTTCTCAAGTGTCTCAAATGCCGTAATAGCCGTAGACCAAGACCTAGCTCTATAACCTTGTAGTTTTTTCAAATCTTTGCTCAGCAGACTCAACTGCGCTACTAGAACCAAACCTATTTCTATTGACTTGTAGTTTTTCAATTTTTCACAGGAATCTCAACTAACCTACTAACGGTAGACCTAGATCTATTAACATTGTAGCCTTTCTAATCGTTGCTCAGGAGACTCAACTGATTTACTGGTGGCAGACCCATGTCTATTACCTTCTATTCTTTCAACTCTTTGATCAAGAGTCTCAACTGCCCTACTGGCGGCAGACCCAGATTTATTGCATTTTAGTCTTTCAAATCTCTGCTCATGTGTCTCAAATGCCTTACTAACAGTAGACCTAGCACTATTACCTTCTTTTTTCATCTCTTTTCTCGGGAGTCTTAACTGCCCTAATATTTGCAGACCTCGCTCTATTACTTTGTAGTCTTTCAACTCTATACTCAGTAGTCTCAAATGCATTACTGGCGGCAGACCCATGTCTATTAATTTGTAGTCTTTCAGCTATTTGTTCAGGTGTCTCAACTTCCTTACTCCCGGCAGACCCAGCGCTATTACGTTGTAGTCTTCTAATGTTTGCTCAGTAGTCTCAACTGCCCTACTAGCGGTAGACCTCCCACTCTTATGTTGTAGTCTTTCAACACTGTACTGAGGAGTCTTACCTGTCCTACATCTAGAGCCGTGGCTGTAATATCTTGTAGTATTTCAACGTTTTGGTCAGGTGTCCTAACGGCACTATTAGCGGTAGACCTAGCTCTATTATCTTACAGTCTTTCAGCACTTTGCTCAATATACTCACCTGCCGTAATAGAGGTAGACATAAAATTATTACCTTGTAGAATTTGAAATATTTGCTCTGGTGTCTCAACCGAAGGCAAACCATTCTCCGTGACATTGTAGTCATTCAACTCTTTGCTCGGGAGTCTCAACTTCTACTAGCGGAAGAATAGCTCTACTACCTTGTAGGCATTCATCTATTTACTCAGAAATCTCCACTGCCCTAGTAGCGGGACACCTAGCTCTATTTTCTTGTAGTCATTCAACTCTGTGCTGAGGAGTCTCAACTGCTCTACAAGCGGAAGTCCTAGCTGTAATATCTTGTAGTCTTTCAACTCTTGGCTCAGGTGTCCCAAAGCAATATTAGCGGCAGAGCTAGCTCTATTACCTTATAGTCTTTAAAATATTTGCTCAGGTGTCTCAACTGCCTTATTAGAGGCAAAACATTCTCTGTTACCTTGTAGTCATTCAACTCTTTCCTCAGTAGTCTCAATTGCTCTTGTAGAGGGAGACATATCCGTATTAACTAGTAGGCTTTCAACTTTTTTCTCAAGAGTATCAACTGCACCATTATCGGTAGACCGAGCTCTATTACCTTGTAATCTTTCAACTGTTTAACCAAGAGTTTCACCTGCCTTACTAGTGGTAGACATCGCTCTATTATTTTGTAGTCTTTCAAATCTGCTCAAGAGTCTCAACTGCCGTAATAACCGTAGATTTAGAACTATGGACTTTTTCCCCACTCTTTATTTTCCCACTGCTCAGGTTTCTCAACTGTCCTACTAGAGTCAAAATTTGCGCTGTTAACTTGTAGTCATTCAAATCTTTGCTCAGGAGTCTCAAGTGCCCTACTAGCGGTAGAACTATCTCTAATACATTGTACGCTTTCAACTTTTTGCTTAGAAGTCGCAACAGCTCTACTCGCGGCATATCTAGCTCTATTACCTTGTAGTCTTTCATCTCTTAGCTCAAAACTCTCAAATGCCCTACTAGCGGCAGCCCTAGCTTTATTACCTTATAGTCTTACAACTGTTTGACCAGGTGTCTCAACTGACTGACAAGCGGTAGACGTAGCTCTATTAACTTGTTATTCCACACGATCCGGTATCTCAACTGACGTACTAGCGGTAGACGTAGCAGTAATACCTTGTAGACTTTCAACTATCTGCCCAGGTGTCAACTGCCTTACTAGAATCAAACCTACCTCCGTTACCTTATAGTCCTCCAATTCTTGGCTCAAAAGTCTCAACTGCCCAACTAGCGGTAGTTCTATATCTATTACCTTCTAGCCTTAAACTCTTTGCTCAGAAGTCTCAACTGCTATACTAGAGACAGACCTAGCTTTATTATCTGGTAGTCTTTCAAATCTTTGCTCAGGATTCTCGTCTGCTTTAATAGGGACAGGCCTAGCTCTATTATCGTTTATTCTTTCATCTCTTTGCAAATGAGTCTCAACTACCCTACTAGCTGTAGACCTAGTTCTATTACCTTGTCGTCTTTCAACTCTTTGCACAAGAGTCTTAACTGGCCTACTAGGGGCAGACCTCGATCTATTGCATTGTAGTGTTTCCACACTTTGATCAGGAGTCTGAACTTCTCCTCTAGCGGCGGACCTCGCTCTATTATCTTGTAGTTTCCATCTTTTTTCTAGGAGTCTCAACTGCCGTAATAGAGGTAGACATAAATCTACTTCCTTGTAGTCTTTCAAATTTTGCCGAGGAGTCTCAACTGCTCCACTAGTGACAAACCTTTCTCCGTTACCTTGTAGTCATTTAATTGTCCCACTAGGAGCAGACATAGCTGTATTACCTTTTAGGCTTAAACTCTTTTCTCAGGAGTCTCATCTGTTGTACTAGCAGCAGAACTCTCTCTATTACCCTGTATCTTTCAACTAATTACCTTCTATTCAACTATTTACACAGAAGTCTCCACTGCCCTACTAGCGGCAGACCTATCTCTATTAGCTTGTTGTCTTTCATCTCTCCGCTCAGAAGTCTTTACTTTTCAGAAGTCTCAGAACTATTAATCTTTAGACATTCACCTCTTTCCCCAGGAGTCTCAACTGCCCTACTAGCGGCAGACCAAGGTCTTTTACGTTGTAGACATTCAACTCTTTGCTCAAGAGTCATAACTACACTACTAGCGGTAGACTTAGATTTATTACCTTGTAGTCTTTCAAATCTTTCCACGGGAGTCTCAATTGACCAACAAGCGGTAGACCTAGCACTATTATCTTGTTGCTTTTTCCCTCTTTGCTCAGGTGTCTCAACTGCCGTACTAGCGGCAGACCTGGCTTTAATATCGTTTAGTCATTCACCTCTTTACTCAGGAGTCTCAGCTGCCCCACTCACGGCAAACCTTCCTCTATTAACGTGTACTCTTACAACTCTTGGCTCAGGGGTCTCAACTGCCCTAATAGAGGCAGAGCTAGCTCTATTACCTTGTAGTCTTTCAACTCTTCACTGAACTGCTTTAATATCGGTTGACATAAATCTATTAACTTTTAGACTTTCAACTCTTTGCTAATGAGTCCCCGTTGCTATACTTGCGGTAGACCTAGCTCTGTTACCTTGTAGCCTTTTAACTCTTTGTTCAAGAGTATCAATTGATCTACTAGCGTGAGACCTAACTCTATTATCTTTGTAGTCTTTCGTATCTTTGCTCAGGAGTCTTAACTGCCCTACTAATAACAGACCTAGGTATATTAACTTGTAGTCTTTGAAATCTTGGCTCAGTGGTCTCAACTTCCCTACTAGCTGTAGACGTAGCTCTATTACCTTTTAGTCATTCAACTCTTTGCTCAGGAGTCTCAACTGCCCAACAAGCGGTAGACCTAACTCTATTGTGTTCTTTCAACTCTATGCTCAGGAGTCTCAACAGCCCTACTAGCGGAAGATTTAGCTATATTACCTTCTAGTCTTTCAACTCTTTGCTCAAGATTCTCAACTTCCCTACTAGCGGCAGACTTAGCTTTATTAAGTTGTAGCCTTTCAACTCTTTGCTCATGTGTCCCAAATGTCATACTAACGGTAGACTTAGCACTATTACTTTTTTTTTCATCTCTCTTCTCAGAAGTCTCAACTGCCCTACTAGTTGCAGACCTAGTCTTTCAACTCTTTGCTCAGGCGTATCGTATGCCCTATTAGCGGCAGAACTATCTCTCTTACCTTGTAGTCTTTGAACTCTTTGCTCTGAAGCCTCAACTCCGCTACAAGCGAAATATTTAGCTATATTAGTCTTGTAGTCTTTCAACTCTTTGCTCAGGAGTCTCAACTCCTCAACTAGCGGCAGACATTGCTCTTTTACCTTGTAGTTTTCAAATCTTTGCTCAAGAGTCCCAACTGTCCTACTTGTGGCAGACCTAGCTCTATTATCTTCTAGTCTTTCAACTTTCTGTTCAGGACTCTCAACTGCCCTACTGGCGGCAGCCCCTTTTCTGTAAACCTTGTAGACTTTCATCTCTTTCCTCAGTAGTCACTGCTAGCATCTTTTCTTTCGTCGCTTTTCTTATGATTCTCAACTGGCCAATTCTCAACAGACCTATCTCTATTAGCGAGCATCCTTTCATATATTTTCTCATGAGCCTCATGTTCCATGTTATCAGTTCTCTTTGGTCTAGAATCCTGACGTTATTTTCCTTCCTTTGTTCAAGCGTCCCAGTTTCTCTACGTGCCGTTGACCTCCCGATAACTTTCCTGTCTTTGCTCAAAATTGTCAGCTGCTCTTTGAGTAGCAAACATATCTATTTCGTTCCGAAGCGTTTGCTGTCTCTGAATCCTTCGGCTTTCAGTCTTTCTTCCCCTTGTGTTGATGTTTCAACTGCCCGATGTAAAGAATTTTGTGCACTTTCTACCTGCAAATTTGTTTCTTTCTGTTTTCTGTTGTCCTCCATCACTCTTCTTGGAAAACCCTTTCATTTGCTTACTCTTGAGTTGCTAAAAATCTTGTTTGACTGTGTTCTATAGTGACTTTGGATTTCGTGGTTAAAATTTACAGTTGGCTTTCCCACATCATTGATATTAATTAAGGATGGTAATGACGACGAATACGTAGCTTTCTTGGATAGTTGAAATAACGTTCTTGTAAATGCCAAGCGCTTCGTTAAGGCCGATAATATAATCACTTTTTGCTTATGTTTTCTACCTATTTTACATCAGAATGTATGTCGTATAGGATCTTAATTTAATTTTCTTTATTTTCTAGGCTGTATCGGTCCAAATAAAATTTCACATACGCTCGCGAATTTGTTTCTTCTTTTTTTCAGCTCTAGTCGATCTCTTTGAACTCAAAGGAATTTCATGCAGGCTCGCGAATTTCTGTACGTCTTTTTCCTTAGCGCGCTCAAATTTCAAAGGGAGTGATTTTTACTGCGTTTTCCTATAGGCTCTCGAAATTGCTTCGTCTATGTTATTGGGTCCCCCCCTTTTTCATACAAGTGGACTCGACCAGTGTGTACTTGTACTGCTGCCGGTGAATACCCGGGAGTACAGAGACGGAGAGATACACTGATATAGTGATACAGTGTGAGAGTTAGAGTGTGAGGTAACCGCTTTGGAGGAGTCACAGTTGCGAGCACGTAGACTCAGAAGGAAGTCATACTTCGATACTGAATTTCCTAGACTGTATATATATAAGTATGGCTACTAACCGCATTTCTTGATCTACTAACCGTATTACCAATTGTATTATTACGTCAATAGATTTATTTGCTTATTTTATTCCTGCGTTTGTCATTCATTTGAGACCGGATTTCATCTCGGAATCCACAACAGTTTATTTCTTCAACTCGCTGGTCAATCAGTTTTAAATAATTGGAGAGAATTTCTTTCCGTCTATTTCCTCTGCTTCTAAACATTTGAAAAGAGTAGGTAAAGGCTGTATAATTTTATATGACTTTGTATTGTAATTTGATCTACTGGTATACAGTTTATTGTACGTTTATATATGCCTGTTACACATTATATTTAACTAAAATATTAACTTTTTGCATTAACGAACATGTACATATTTACATAAACGCTTTAGCAAAGGCGTTCTCTAATTATTCGATTTTGTCAGACTGTTGGAAATGCTTATCTTAATGTAAAATATTAAAGTTTACCTTTCATTTACAAGGGACAGTTTGCATACAAAGCCGCCTACATCCTTTTGCCTGAACTGTTTATTTTTTTATATTATTTCTAATTTTACTACGTCCAGAAAACTGAACAGCATGTGATAGGTATCATATGCTTAAAGGAAAATGTAGCTGATCTATTTTACTTGACTTTATCAAATGTCGATTTCTCGTCCGGTAAGCTGGAGGGAAATTTGGCTAAATGTCCATACTATAGCTGTCATCATTCGTGTATAACCTTTAAATTGATCATCTCTTTATCTGCCAGTTTAACCTGATCATCTCCTTATTTGCCATTTTAACCTCTCTTATTTTAGTTAGGTGTATCTGTCTTTATATAATGATTGCTTGGTTTCGTACGAAATTATCGACTGAAATGCTTCTTAATGTCTGGCGTTTAAACCATTTATTATACAACCGTTTTTTCGTTCTTTTAAAACATATCTCTCTACAGGTTCATTAGAAACACATTCTTTAAATTTATTAATTTCATTTTTTATTGTATATTGTAAAATAGTTTATACAAAAATATCTGACTATCAATCAAAAGATAATCTTAATATAGAAGTGTAGAATTTTTTTTATGTCTACTTGTAGATATCATTCAAAATGTAGAAGGCTAGAATTTTTCTATGTCTACTCCTGACTTCTTAATTAGCTATGAATTAAATATTTCTAGTATCATTTTACCTATGTCATCTATTTCGATTATGTTTGGGTTTATGAGTCTGCATGTTGGGTACGTTTTTTAAATTTTCTTTGTGGTCATTTAATGTCATAAATTCATGGGCCTCGTGATGCAAAATATCCTGTCGTCTAGGTTTAATTTTGGACGATTGTTTTAGCTTTCTTATTGATATTGTGTTCTATTGTTTTATACATTTTTTATAAGTTTTAATTGTGTTGTCCTTGGGTAATTTATTGTGTATAGGGTGTCTTAGTTCATATAAATTTCTAGCTTTGTCCGCAGCGATAAATAAGTTTTTTGAATTGTTTATTTTAGTTATATCTTCTTTTAGAATTTTTGGGAAGGCATCTTGTTTTTTATAGAATTTTATGTTTCTTACTAAGTTAATACTTTCTTGAAGTCCTATAGTTCTTTTTGATGAGGTTGATTTTTTTTTCTTTGAGTGCTGTATTATTATTAAGTTTCTGGTTTTAAAATAACGGGCTTTCCATCTTTTTCTTTTTATGAAGGTTTCTATTTTTTTCTAATAAGTCTATCTAATATGTGGATGGGGATAAAGTGGGCATGTTTTTTTTTTGTTTTTTTTTTTTTGGTGTAGTCGAGGGTAATATTTCTATCTCTATAATGTGTTATAAATGTAGCAAAAATGCTGTACTGTTTATGAATATGAATTGATATATTTTAAAGGCGTGCCATATTTATTTGATAATGTGCTCAATATCAGAGATAGAGCGTACGTAATTATAAAAATGTACATTGAAGTTAACACTCAGACATACTGTTTCATGCTAATCGAAATCACCAAGCCACATGCTCTGTGTTTGATATATATATATATATATATATATATATATATATATATATATATATATATACTTGCGGTTTAGTGGTACAGTTTGGGTATTCTACTCTAACGATCATTTTGGCGGGAGTAGTCTTTTAATTTGTTTATTATTCATTTTATGTATATGTATTAAATTATTTTACTTGTTTTCGCGTATTTATTTTTATTTTTGAAAATCACAGTAATCAAATTCTAATTTATTTTCCGATATATATATATATATATATATATATATATATATATATAGAGAGAGAGAGAGAGAGAGATAGATAGATAGATAGATAGATAGATAGATAGATAGATAGATAGATAGATAGATAGATGTTTGTATTTAGGCAGCATTTTTTTCATTCATACATGTTTCATTAAATAATATAGGCAAGTGTTGTCCATTTATTTTATGTAAATTCCTTTCATAACGTCTGATAAGCTTAATAACATTATCATTAAACGAAGAAAGAAAATCACAATATTGATACATATTTTAATCCAATCTAAGCTTTCGGCTTACATAATCTCTTTTCAAAGATGACAATTGCAGTAAAATATATTAAGCAATACCCGGACAAGTATGTGATAATAGTCTGTTTCTGTTTACATGGATGATTTTCAGGAAGCGATAAACACGTGACTCTGGAAGCGAAAATCGCACCCCAGCTCATGACGGCACATATGACCACCCGAGAGCGAATTCGAGAAGTATTAAGTATGGGAAGCCGTTGGTATATACAAATGGCTTCTGTTTCCAATTATAGGCATTTAAATGTCTATAACTGGTAACAGAAGCCATTCAGAGAGATCGCCCCTAAATGCGTATAAAGAGTTATATACGCATATATAAATGAATAAAGTATACCTTTTTGTGAACGGATTAACATAACAGTAGCATTAATAGTAAATGGAATAAACTTTTTTTAATACTTTTATTTACACCCTACTTAGAAATTCAAATGTCATTTTCGAGATTAATATTTATCCACATATTTACGAAACATAAATGTACTATTTAAATAAATCAACACAGAGAGACGCACGCACAAACACAAGCAAAGAAACAGGTCTATTGCCTCTTGCTTATGAGGAAATTTTCGTTTTTTTTATTCAAATGATTATGATGTTTGCCTAAAATTATTACATTATTGTATGGCTCTCCTCTGATGTCATAAAAATGATGTATGTGTGTCCGTCCTAAAGGTTCATATTGTACATTATAATAAATATCTCTTTTTGAGAACAAGTGCTTGAAAAGCTTCCACCCATAATTTTTTATGAAGGACAAGTGTAATTTTTTGAAGTTTGGACAATGGAATTTGGTATGAGAAACGCTATCATGTCTTTTATTTTCTCATTGTCCGCTAGCTTGAAATGTAGACGCAAGTATCACAAATTCCCAAAACAGATTAAGATTATGATTACCGAATCCCGGAAGTATGAACCGAGATAGATTCATCATATTTCGCATTAGGAATACTCCAGCGTATTTCACTACGTGACTAGAATTTATCATCAACTGTAAATGCTACCAGGGAATCATTATTCTATTGCCATTCCTATTATTGCAAAAACTGATTGATTCGAGGTGTCCGTATATTTTGTTTGAATCACACGGATCTCGCCGCTTTCTTCTATGAGTTAACATCGAATGGTTTTTCTTTTAACTGGATCAAATATATATGCATATACAATCTCACAGTCACGCATATACCTTTCGATCTGTAGGTCTGCCTGTAGACTCAATGTGTAACGTTTGATTTCTGCAATATTAAACAGAGCATCTGTGTAAAACATCCATTGACACTATTAACCTATATATATATATATATATATATATATATATATAAGTCTAAAAATTATTTTATGTTTGTGTTATTGTTTCCAAAATATGCAAGGTGTTACTAAAATAATAATAAACGACGCAGACACGAAAATAGAACAGGACTCAAGGGTATAGACATTGTGTTTAAAATTTCGAAAGTCGTAGTTGACAGGAAAGCAGTAGGTCGGAAGTATTTGAATAGAATATAGGCTTGCAAATACGAATTTCAACATATAAATTTTGAGACAAAGCTACCAATCCCGTACTCTTCTTATATTCGTGAAGTCTACGTACCAAGGAAGAAAAAAACATCAAAGAAATTTTAGAAAAATCAAACGAATGCTGCGGTGAGAAATTGACTGTAGCCGAGATCCCAGATAAGGACAGTTAACGCCGCCGAATCTTGTAGTAGACTCATAAATGTACACGATGTATTTATGAATCGATCGATGTCAAATATTATAATTACTTTTCTCACGAGTTTCCAAAACTGACGATATA